CCAGATGAAGTCAAACACCATACTTAGTCATAACTACTGCTGTTGCTACTAAATAAATTTTGCCCATTATTACATTTATTACTATGATTATGTTTTAAATAACCTTTTACAATTAATACAGTAAATTTATAGTTGCTATGGTAACCCTGAGGGTACAGCAGATGAGCTTTTGTTGCTATGGTAACCCTAAGGTACAGGTATATTATTATCTCATCATTCACACCTGTTTGGTTATTGATGGATTTTTTGTCAATCTGATTTTGTTTTGGGTAATAGAATATGAGAATGTTTGATGAGATCATATGCTATATAGATGAACTTGAACAAATGTCCATAAATAACAATAACAATGAGCTACATACAAATACAGTACTTTATATACAGTGGAACTCAATTAATAAAGAACAAGCTAAAACTGTTTGTATTGCAATCTTTCCTCCCAGAACCACCATCTCCCATGGGGAACTCTACCCTGGAGTCATTCAAATCCTGTATATGGTACATGTACATGCATTACAATAAAAAATGTATTTGAGGGAAAACATTTTTAAATCTGGTTCATTTCATAAATGGCAATAAGTTATTTCTGTTTATGATATATTCCATACATTCTCAGACATATTTATCTCAATGTGGCTTACATCATTATAAATCAATGAAATATTTCCTGTATCTCTGACATAATAAACAATGAAATAAACATCAAGTCAGCTAATATTTTGCAACATTTATCAAAATAAATGTCGGTTAGCCACACCTGCATAGCTAAACTGGCACTATCAGCTCTTCTTCAAAATAGACTGATACCATGAGAATTACCACATACAGTCTAGTCTGAGAGTAAAACTCATTTTCTTTGATTTTATTTAAAAATGATTCAATAATTCATTTATATCAACGTTAATTCTATATAACTTTTAGATTGAATCAGAACTAAAGGTTTTACATGATCGCACATGGCACTTCGCCTGAGAGTATAAATCCAATTTTCTATGACGTTGTTAAAAAAGTTAATATCAATATGTCACCACTTTTTGGTGGTGACACAATAATCAAAGTACAAGAAAATAATCACTAAACAAGCATAACCTTTAGAATAGAAGTGAATCTGAACAATAAGTTCAATAAGATGAATGCTTGATATTGTGTTAGGGACTATTTACTGTCATTATGCCATACTTTGGAGACACAAATGCTAATAATCATTGTATTGTGACCTACACAGTCCAGCTGTTGGTGTAACACAAAATCAAATGAAATTTTAGAAAATTCAGAAAGCTCCGTCTTCCATTTCCAAAGCATGATGTTTATTTTATTAAAAATTAAATTGGTACGAGATACCAGAATGTTTAGATGTAGGCAGATAGATGAAAAACTGTTTATAGCACATCAAGTAAAAAAATAAATATTATATCATGCTATACATGAAATATTTAACATTATCACCTCAGTTGTTTTGATAGCAGGCCTGTCAACTGTCCCGCAATTTGCGTATTTGTCACGCATTTGCTGAAGAATTTGAAGTCACGCCAGTTTTTTTTGCGTGACAGAAAATGTCACGCAAAATACGCATTTTACCTGGTAATTGTCAAGCAAAAATATTTCTGTAGAAATCTTTTCGAAATATGTTTACGATACGGTAAAAATACGAACGCCGGAAAAAACCGAACGCAATTTGTTCTGATTTGTCACGCGAATCCCGTATGTGTCACGCATGTTCATTGGAAATTTTTCGTCTCTACCCCCCCCCCCCCCCCCCCCCCCCCCCCCTCGTTGACGACAACGCGAGCGTAGCGAGCGCGAAAAATTTGAGGTGTTCAAAGTTTGGCAAAGGTGCTCAAACTTTGGCCAAAGGTGTTTAAAAGTTGGCTAAAGGTGTTCAAAATTTGGACAAAAGTGTTCAGATTTGGACTTAGGTGTCCAACATTTTGAAGTCACTCATATTAGGTGGTCCCAAGTTGACAGCCCTGTGATAGTGATTAGAGTAAATAGAGTTTAAAAAGTCAAAATTCGGATCTGTCTACCCTGGTTGAACTTGCCACCTATCTCACAGCTTTATGACGGCAATTTTGAATTCAAAACAAACAACATATTTTTTAATTCAAACCCAGACAATTTCTGACATGATAAAAAATGATACACATTTAATTTTACATTACCCATAATAGATCACTGCTAGGTTTGATTTTAATTTCAATAGAATCGTGTTATTACCCAAATAAACATACAAATCAAAAGCAATTTTTTCAAGCCTCAACTGTACCTTTGAAACTATAATTACCAGTGAAAAATTAGTTATAATTGAATGTGTTAAAGTCTCAAATTTTGTTATATATAATAGTAGTACTAGGATTCTATATGGAGACATGATTCATCCTAAGGGCAACACCGCCTTGGCGTTACTCAAACCAGGCCCTAATGATACATATAGACTACCTTAAAATATCTTTATCATGTGAAATTGGCCTTCTTTATAGCAAATGAGATATTAGCAAGAATTTTTACAATATTTTAACGATAAAATTGAAACTAGGGAATGTATAATAATAGAGTTGTTCCGCCTTAAGGCTGACTGGTCCACAATAATAATTGAGTGAAGAAATCATATGATTTCTTCACACAATAAAATACAAGACATCTTTATGCTTGCTATACTGACCATACACCAAATTAAACTTTACACCCCTGGTGATTTTCGACAAAAGAAATCAGATGATTTCAACTGTGGTAAATGTGATGGGGAGAGAGATACTGGCACTATAATATACTCCAAAGTACAACATAAAACTGATAATGATGACCCACTTGCAAATTTAACATTGAGGCCTCTGAAACTCTCTGATAAACATTTTGTGCAATCCAATATCACAGTTTAGCCCTCTTATACATGTACAAGGAGTGATCAATAAGTAATGGACGCTTTTTATGGTACATCGCATCAAGATTATTTGAATTTTCTAAAATATTCAAACAAAGATTCAATATCTACTACTTTCCAGGAATAAATGTTTAATGTTACTAAAGTTGTTTGTAGTAAGAGAACCTTTCTGATCACTTTCAGTTTTATCTGATGATACAAGCCATCATACTCTTATATACACAAACACAATTCACAATCAAATTAGCAAAAGGATCAGTTTTCTTGAGAATTCTGGTTTTTCAACAAACTTCTCTAAAATTAGAACACTTTTCTCGGGATTAATTTAAATAGAAATGTCTTGAGTTGTTTCTCAAATTGAAGTTGAGTCAAGTTATATGTTCTTCACTGCAATCACTTGTATGCAAAAAATATCATTTTATTAATGTAAATTCACATTACAGTCTGGCGCATAGACACTTGAAAATAAACCCCAATTCGGTAACTGTTCAAGGTGAATGAATATCCCGGTTGCCTTAAGACGATGCATCGCTTAGGCCTGTATAATAATCAATGTATTACACTTTACAAATGATGCAATTAAGAAAAAACATAACATCGTCAGCCACCTAGAACAAACTAATATTCTGTGATTGATTTCCCAAAAGACCGCAATGTTCTTAAAGGGTCACTAAAGTTCTTAAAGGGTCACTGCGTAAAACCCAATATTTTACTTATTGCTATTGGAGGTTAATACAGAGTGGAGAAATCTTATCAGCGTTGAACCGTTTAATTAAAATGAGATTGGGTTGCATCATGAAACGAAAATAGAGCCCTGGGATCATTGGGCTAATCCTTCATAAATATACATGACTCACACAGAATTTCTTCTGTATGTATGACTATGTACATGTATGGTATTGGTAACTGATACAACCTAAGATGCTCTGAAACAATCTGTATTGCAATCATGCACAATTTTCATTACATTATTCTGCAGAAAATGAGTGAAACATCCTCCAGATATCTGGATACTATATTACGCATGGGGCTTGACCATAAGCAAGATGGGTGACAAAAATTTGCACCAACTCTAGCTCATAAGCATTTTTGATGATGCAGAACTATATTTCAGAAATTTCAAAGTAACAAAATAATCTTTCCTGTGAAAATGACAGAGCACACTACCCCAACAGAAAATCTTCTGATGGCAGAATACCAAAGATAATACATAGCTGAACCAGGAAAAATAACATGTGTCAAGATATCATATCTACCTGTGTTTAACCTGTTATCTTAATGAGATAACACTGACCTGTAAGTACCATCATCACTAAGAGGATGACAAATCAGCCTCTGAAACGTAAGTGATGTATCCAGCACTTGTTAATTAAATTAACATGCTGATTAGAATGAACACAAGGTTAACACATGAGATTAACACACAGTTTTATGTAATGATAACACAACAGGGGAAAGTGATCTCACACATTGCTTCGTGTAAGATAATGGCTTACATATACAGAGACAGAGAGGTGCCCTGTGTTTATAAGGGATAGTCTAAGCAACCAAGCAATTATTACACAAATATATTGTTCTATTAAGGGAATACCTATGCCTCTTTCAAGTCTTACATTCTGTATCCATTCACAAAATGAGAGACTTGACAATGAGATAATAATTAATGATGAACATATTTATGGCATCTTTTAAGATAAAATCAACCAATTAACAGCTCATTAACAATTAGACATGTACGTTGGTCGTTGGGTATGCCGCTAGCTTTATTTAGAAAAAATCTATCAAACTGCCATCTTTTTAAACTATGGTCATTTCAAGTACTTAAAAATCAGTATCTTTGTTCACAAATAGATGGCAGCAGCAATAAGATGAAATCTCTGATAATTTTTTAGGCTCTTGATTACTAATAATTACTAATAACAATAAACATTGAAACTCAATTATTAAATATAAATAAAATTACAACTATTGTTAACCTATATCATTGGATTCTTGTTCGCTGGACACCTACAGTTTTATCAAGATATTGGTAAGAATGGATGTATAGAGTTGCCCTGATCTCCCTTTGCAGAGGTCAACAATCCTATAAAGGAAAAAGCTTGTTTCCCCTATCTATACATACCTACAGTCAGGGTGCTGCCATTGGTTCCCCACCGACCTTTCAAGGTCGTTTGTGATCTTTCCTGTTTTTGCATGGTTGCTAGGTGCTTCATGCCTTTTAGATGGTTGTCAAGTTGACCTTGAGATGTCAGGTCTATATTACAGACAAAACATATGAACTTGCTGGATTGTCTGAAAAACACAATATAAAGAATAATCAGGTCTATATTACAGACAAAACATATGAACTTGCTGGATTGTCTGAAAAACACAATATAAAGAATCATCAGGTCTATATTACAGACGAAACATTAACTTGTTGGATTGTCTGAAAAACATAATACAAAGAATAATCAGGTCTAGTCTATATAACAGACAAAACCTTAACTCGCTGGATTGTCTGAAAACACAATGCAAAATCGATATATAAATCTTTCAATGAAGTAAAGATGGCGTACTATCTCAACTTTGGTTTTAGATTTCTGGTGTGAAATATTATTTAACTCTGATTTACTATAAAGATGGCAGCACATTTCAATGCTACTTTAAAATAGTTATTAATTAATCAGTGGCAATAAAGTGAAGTAATTAGGCTTGATCACTTGTTAAGAAATGGCTAAACATTCTTTCAACAATAACGTCAATATTAACTGGTTATTAATTATATGTGAGCTAAAGAGATTACAGATTTACCTTACAAGCATTTTTTGGTGCATGTTATACCTTGAGTATTCTCTATAAGAGTATTCTTGGATTGTCTTCTTGGAATTAAAGTTTGATAGTTTTTCTGCTGTGGCATAGATGGGGATTTTATGAGTTTTTCCTTTTTTACAGTACCAACTAGAGTAACAAGTAAGAATTACATATCTCTTGTTCTCTATGTACCTCGATGTCTCCAGGTATGTTGTTTTTGAAATTGTTCTAGTTCTTCCCTCATAGGAACTGCTGAATTCTAATTAAAAAATCACTCAGACATGTTTACCAAAATCTTCAGTTAACCATGTCATGTTCACATAACCTTGAAATTCTCTCGTTATCATCACTTGCAGTTTTTTACAGGTGAAACAAATGACGATTGGATCAAATAAGACGATAACCCACTAACAAAATTTCACAAACTAAAATAAAAAAACTAAGTAAAAATCTTCAATTAAAAAAAAACATTGGATAAACATATGGGAGGTCCAAACCACTAATTGCCAAAATCATAGAAAAATGCAAGAAAAATATGATACTTTATTTAGATTTTGAGGCGTAAATGAAGAAAAGATTATTAAAGTGACATTCAACATGTAACCCTTAAAGCAGGTAATCACCTAAATGCTTCACTGGCTTATCTATATTCACCAACCATGATGTTGACTACACTCCTTGGGGGTTGATTAAAAAATATTGATTTTTTAGAATAAAACTAGATCGCATCCAAAGATCTGAAAACATCATCTATCTTGAGTTCTGATAGCATTTCATTGAGGTGATTTAAACCTATTTATAATACAGTTGCTATGTAAATCTATAGCTGTTTTAATTAACTTTGTGGCTTGCTCTATTGATAAATATGTAATATATAAAGACTTGGGTTTCTGTTCCTAGTTTAATTTTGATTAAAATTCTTTGCTATTAAACAACATATCTAAATTACTCATATATAAATCTTTAAAGGTAGTATACCTTCAAATGATTGGATTTACATCTGGCTTTTAATTCTTAAGATTATTTTTCAATTCAGCTGTTTTGACACTGGAGAGATAACTATATTAGTAACTAAATTAAGATTTTGATATCTTAAAGTATATTTGCTTTTGTATAATCTTAACATATGCTTATTTTGAAATGATCCCTTCACTTGACGAAATATCTTTCTCTGTAAATGATATATTGGGTGAATATTTCAACAGAATCCGGTATAGTTATTACACTATCTTTATTTTCCATTTAATTCAGGAAATGCTTCGCATCGGTGATATAATATGGACAGTTTGCTATCATCACATTCTCGTTATTTAGTGTTTTATGAAACATTTCGGCAATATCAGCTAAAGCGTTGTCTTCTACAGTGTCAGAATGGCCCTTTTATTGAGTCAATTCAACACTGAAGCGATGAAACATCCACAACTGGGGAATTGTTCAGTTTCTTTTTAGATAAAACCTTGTAAGAAATTTGCCTTAATAAATCTAGCTTATACCTAAACTGATGTTTTTGATAGAGACATGGTGCTGAAGATATTTGTAGATGCCACCTTTGTTGTCTTTTCTCCTCAAGGGAGAGATCTTCAAATTGCAAAAGAAGCATCTAACTATGAAATAGTGTATCTGGGCAATAAATACAGACTCCAAGTTTTACTTCAAAACTTTTACTTTGAATGATTCTATTGTATAACATCTCTTATCTTTGGTTGGTTACTTTCAGTATTTTTTTCTGATTGTGTCACAGAGAAGTGGTTTTAATCCAAAATCAGGCCATGAGAAAAATAAGGTACTCACTGAAAAGGCACAGTGAACAATTTAATGTATAAAAAAATGGTTGGCTTATAATTTCCTAGCCTGCCCAAAAAAAACTAAGCAGTTTCAGATTTTTAGACCAAAGAACATGAAAATATGTAGACAAAGAAAGTGAGTCTTTACCACCAGTCTGTCAGCCAACAAGCTGACAACAATATTGAAGAATAATAATGGTTGATCAGTCTTGCTAAAACTTCAAAGATATTATACTCTCTCAGAGATATTCCCCTTGGTACTCATATTGAGTACAGCACTGTTCTTATTTAATTACTTCACAAATCCTCAACATTTTTTTGACACAAGTCCCTCATGAAAACTCTGATTACATTTTCCAAAGCCTTCAAGGTTATTGAAAATTGTTTAAGAACTCGGTACAGTGATTTTGTTCTCATAGAATTTCTTAAAAAACAGATAACAAAAACATATTTTCCAAATTCTGCCCTAATAAATAGATTAGAAACAGTTGCTGAAAAGCATTAAAAGTAATCACCATTTAAGGCAGATAAAATCTTACGAGTGCTCATTCCTCCCCACTAAAGGATGAGTCTGGGAATGAGTCTGGGTATCGACTTAGAAAATATTGAAAATTGTAATGTCTGAAAAACCAACTCAATCACACATATTATTAAACTTCAATATCTTATCCTTCTTATGAGATTACAAAAATATCATTTTGTATCACAATTGATGAAGAATATTGGGATCAAAGACAGTGCATATCACTTTGTCAGAATTGAAAAAAAATCAATGGCAAATATTAAATGAATTATTTATACAAAAAGTGTGAAACATATCCTCCAAAACATTGCTTACTTTCTTTGTATAGACATTGAATGGTATTTCTGGATAAGTGAATTGGTGTTTATCTGGGTAATCAAGGGATTATAGTCACTCAAAGGTACTGAGCATCCAGTTTTGACACTTCAATTGTGTTGGTGAAGTTACACATATTTCAGTCAAATTCATGCTGAGCACAACATTTTGGTTTCAATTTTATAATCTCTATACATGACCCTGGTGATGAAGAGTCAGAATCAGTCAAAAAACCTAAACCGGAAAACTGTGCTCAATGTGAAAACTAAAAGTGAAGCAACTTTTTTTCTAATATTTCTTACATCAAATGGCAGCCATCTTGTTTTTCCCCCTTCAAATTAAACTGGCGGGAAATTCAAAAATTTGAAAAAAATTTAATCCTTAAATATATTTCAAAAATATGATTTTCTTTTTAATTCTTCATGGATCTTAAGTTATTTCTTCTTTGTATGTCATACATGTTGCCATTGGTGTTCTTTTCTATAATAATGACCCTTTTTTATTTGTTAAGATACTTATTCTGACTCTCAGCAGAGGGTTAATTATGTGTCAAAACTCATGAAAAAGTAGATACTGTAGATTGGGTTAATTTGGCGCCCGCTTTAATTTGGCGAATTTGGCGAAATTGAAAAATTAGCCAATATAAATCTTCGCCAAAATTGAGAATGAATCCCCGGGAATTATCTAGGGTATTTCTTCCAGTGTATTTAGGTCACTTCCGGTTTAGTTTTTCCAAAAATATGAAAAAATGTCTCTCATAAATTGGCTCAGAACTGGCCAGTCACTCATTAATACTCAACAGGGAAAAACTAGAAAGGAAAAGCGTGGTATAGTAGCAGCATCGATCGAGGTGCAAAATGTAAAGGATGATCTCACAAAAATTTACAAACGTGGTGAATATTATTATAATTTTAAAATTTTTTTTAATTTTAATTGTTTGTTTTTTGCATGTTCGCCAAATTAAATAGCCACCAATATGCCAAAAATGGCAAAATCGCCAAATTAAGTAGCGCCAAATTAACCCAATCTACAGTATACATTTGACTGAGGGACCAAAAGGGCATATATCCAGACACATCCTTTTTGGTTCATACGAATATGGACCTGTGGATCTCATTCCCAAAGTAAGCTTCATTTTTTGAGAATAAGCACAGTAATAAATTACATTTTTTGGCTACCTTGTTGATATCCAGGACCACCCGAACATGCTGAATATGGATATCATTGATAAATTACCAAAATGCTATGATAAAGGTTACCTTGACATTGGATGATACAAGGTAGATAGAAATACTGTGAATCGTGTTTAGCGCAATGTGATCATTAAATTATTTTCATCTGGGTTTATTTAAAATAAATAATTTGGTTTCTTGAAAAAATAATTCTTCATGGGTTTTATTTCAATGAAGCCTTAACACTGAGGGGTAGAATATATGGTAATATGGTACAAGTATGTGTAAAGATGTGCATTTTTATGTCATAAATCTAACTTGTTTTCAAGGTGTAATCATGATCTTTGAAGATTATGGAGAAATATGTTAAGTAGAAATACCAAGATATTCAATATTTATAAAATTTATCTAATATCGATTCTGGCACTTCAATTATAATAAGATTTATTTTAACTATCTGAGAAAACCTTGCCTCCTTCACATGCTTTTATCAGAGAGATTTGTAGTATTGAATGAGAGTTACAGATGTTCCTTTTGGCAATATTTTGAAAGATTTTGCATTCTTCATTGGCAGGTTCAACAGAATAGATGTCTAGATTTCCTCTGTTTCAAACAGTTTTAGGAAAACACTGTCAATTTGAGAACTTTATTTGTTACTTTAATTCATAACAAGCATCATTGCTGGAATAACTGCAGTTATTTCAAATGGGCTACCTAACTGTATTGATAATGATAATGTTCTTTTAACTTATATCAATTCCAGAAAAATATACATTTTAACAGTATCACTGTGAGAAAGTAAATATCAATTAGAGTAAATGTTTCTGGTCTCTATCAAAGTTTCATCACCTTGGTTATTCTAAAAGTGGATAAAACATTTTCAGTGTAATATCTCAAGTATGAGGGCCTGCAGAACTGCCTTAGTAGTATTCCTTACTTTTTGGTAATGATTCGATAATCTCTAATCCTAGACATGGAATAAGGAGAAATCACAACCTAAATCACAAGAGAAACTTGGTCATTCTTGGACCTAGTCCCCCCCTTTTGCGAGCCATTCACATCCCTGGTCTATCAAAAGTGATGCAGCAAGCCATCACAAATATGTAACAAAAAACAAATGAAGATGAAATTTCCACGAAAATCATGAGATGTTGGAACATACACCGGTTTATCATAATTTCTATTTTTAGAGAGTAATTCTATGATCCCTGGGAGGTAATTACTTGAGATATTTCCTATAAAAATTCTAAATCAAATTTTGATATAATCTCCTTGAAAAATGTTCAAGAAACAATGATTGATCTACGATGTTGTTTCTAGTTACCAAGGCAACCCTAGGATGTAACCATGGTGCTTCAACATTGGGGAGAGTAACAATGTCTATTTATATCTTCAAACGGTTTAAACTTCTTTAAGCAACTAAATATAGAAGAAATTCTATTCAAAGCAGAAACTATAGAACTGAGAGATTTCTTCCAGGGTTGATAACCTTTTAGACTCAAGGTTCTCAATTCTGATACAACCCCTTCCCCTAAGGAGAAATGCAGTTGGTGCAACTAACTCTGTGATGTTTCATATCCAGTCAACACTGACAGAGTGTCATAATTATACAGATCTGTCATAATATTTATCTACTTTACACCAGTAAATGTCTCTCTTTCTAAAATGATAGATATGTGGATATAAAATGAAATACTATATATTCACTAGAGAGTGATGGGGATATACTTTAAAACTTTTCTCATGTTGCCCTTTGCGTTTCCATGATTTATGCAATATTCGCAAATATATGAGTATGATTCCCAAATAAAATTAATATTTTCATCATTGTTATTTCCAAGATTCATACTGAATTGTGAAAACAGGTTTAATTCCAATCATGAGAATACAAAAGAGGCGTGCAAGAAGTGAGAGAGAAATTTCGGATAATTGTGAGCTGTGAGAAAAACGAGACAAATAGCAAGGGAGAAAATCTGAATGAATGATCAACCAGAAACCATTATTCTTTAATTTACAGTGACAAAATAAAAAGTCAGAATATAGCCTCACAATGTAGCCTACGGGGATAATAGTAAAATATATAGCCTCGTTCCAATGTTTCTCTTGATTAGGTTATCTCGCCAGACATTCAAGGCTGAATCCAGATGGTTAAAATATGTACAATTAGTTCATACTTCTTTGGATCATTTCTTTAGATAACATACCTAATCAAGGAAATAACAGTTTCAATCAACAGACTGTATATATTGCCTCCCAACTGGGAATCGCAAGTACATTTTTATCAACTAGCAGTGGTTTATCTGCATATTTTACAATTTTCCCTCACTGATAAATGCATAAAACAAGAATAATTTGATTTGGTAATGAAAGGATTGCCTTCCGTGACTGTTGTTGCGTTTCAGGTCATGTCGATTGATATTCACTGGAATGCCTAATCGAATGAAAAGAAGAAACAAGTACTTGATATCACTAGTAATATTGAAGGAGGCAAGGTCCAGGGCGAGGTTTGAGAATAAGAGACATAATCGTTATCCAATAACCAGGCTCAGAACAATGGCCAACAGCAAAGGCAAAAAGTCAGGTTCAAAACCACAGCTCATCTTTGAGACTACTAATGCATAATCCTGATGACTAACCCTATTACTTATCCACACACTATTAACGGAATACATGCTATCATCCCCTTTATTCAATGATTTAGGTCCTTATGATTTAATGACCTTAAACACAAAATGATATTCCTGTCCAAAAGAGGTTTACTGGGATATTGTTCATGGCAGAGCGGCAACAAGTGGATATACCAGAGATCTTACAAAACCAACTCAAAAATTTAAGGAGGAAAAGGTGGTAAATATACAGTCTGGAGCCAAGCTCTGAGAAATTACAATTTTCAGTCCATTTGTATAGCTCAATTTTGTAAGCTGTGTACAAGACTGAACTGAACTGAACATACACACACTTACTTTGTTGATACTGCACTCTCACTGGTCACTGGATTGGTGGCCGTATGGGTAGCACGCAACCTTTTTACATGACTTTTTCCATTATAATGCTGCAAGGACTGCTTCTCTGAATTGAATGAGACGCCACACACTTTGCAATATACATCAGGTTTTATATCTGTGGTGGACTTTGAAGGTGATACAGAAGCACTCTGGAAATAGAAAAAATACAGAGCGATTATTGACAATTTTAGACATTTTAGAATAAAAAACTTTAAATTTTTGAGGTAATGTTTCTGCAGAATAACAAGTAATCCTTGAAATTGCTTGAATTATCTTCATGCACCATTTATCTACATTAATAATTGGTCAATTACTTCATAAATATTGACCATCTTTTTTATGTCTCTTGCTAACCTGTTTGGCCACACTGTCTTCTTTAAAGACAAGTCAATCAAAAATCATAACCTTACAGAAAAACAAAGCAAATCACAAGAAATACCTAAAGCACGTGCCAGTATATGCTACTAATAGGAAATGGAAGGAATTGAGCAGCTGCGTTATTCTTTTTATTCAACTGGTAATATTTAACCTCTTGAGGGTGATCAATGTCACGATTATTATGATGAAAATGTCATGATGTCATAACAAAACCTTGTTCTATCACTTACAGCTCCACCAGTTATTAGGTTATTTCCCAATGGTCAGATTTTCTGTTTGAAAATGATAGAGAAATCGAATTATATACATTTGTAAATCGTGTTGTTCTGTCTTTGCCTGGACATAATGATACCACTTTTATGAAGGGTAACTATGAGCAAAAAAACTGAAAATTGATTTTCAAACCCATCTTGGATATTTCTGGGAAATTATGTAAAATTAAAGTATTTCTTAAGCACTCTTGTAAAATAAGCAAATTATATATGGGGAGATATTCAATGTTCATGTATTTACCATTTTACAGTTTAGTATGAAAATTTATTATGAAGGAGAAATCCTACCATTAGCAAATGACCAAGGGTTACTCATTCCCAGATATCATTAAATATAGCAATTCCAGCTGATCTCTTGAAAAGAATTGGAGTAGCTATTACATATTTCTGCATTCAAAGCATTTTGAAGGTTTACAATTATAATTGTACAAATATACTGTTTTCAAATTTATGTCTAGTAATAAAGCTTACGTAATTGCTTAAAGAGATTTGTAATAATGAGAGAATTAAAGTATCATCTGGGCATTCTGACATCAAAATTGTTTTCCTACTAGGCCTCTCCCTAAGGTGCACTTTGTTTCTAACACTTTTGACAACCTTTTTAACATTTTTTGCCTCTCAGTAGAAAATGTACCCTTTGCATTCGTTTGACTTCACTTCTTAAAAGAGAGCTTCGTCTTCACTCTTTCAAACTAAAATAAACCTGTGAACTCACCGCGCCAATCAGTGTTCGTCGACCAAATTTGACCGACGTTCTTTATATGGTCATTCCTTCTGACGTCATCGTTGAGCCCGGAATTGACCAATGACATGCGCATATTTAATTAGAACGCATTTGGCGTATGTTTCTTCAAGCTCGTCGATTGGTGGAAGGTCAGCGCATAGGTCAATTTAATAGGTTATTTGAATTTATTCTGTCTAGAAACGTGAATAAGCAACACCATTATAAATTGCCAGGTCAGTTTCTGCATTTAGTATACAGTCTGACACGCCCCAACAAAATAAGTGAATCATTAAAAAACATCATAATTTAAGCAATTCCTTTGAATTGAATATAACATACCAACCTAGTTTAACTTACTAAAATCAGCTAAATTTATTAAAGTTGGTCCATGTAGATTAATTAGCTTGGTATAACAATGCAGTTCAATGTAATATAATCAAATATGATAAAAAGAATGATCGTTATTGGTTTTATATACTGAATACATGAGATGTCAGCTATATAAAACTCATAAAAAGTGCTCATAAAATTATGTTGTCATATGTGGCACTCTCAATCAAAGCCATTAACAGATATCATTTTCAAGTGTAAGGTTATGAAGCAAAACACAACCACTTATTGCCAATACAATACTGCCAGACAATACTGTGGATATTTAGACATTGTACAAGAATAACACTGGCGGATCTGGGGGGCCCCAGGGGCTTGGGTCCCTGGAAAAAAAAATTGGGCCCAAAATTTTTTTTGGGCTCTCGGCCTTTTAAGGCCTTATTTTTTAATTATATGCCAAAATTTGAAAAAATGGGCCTCAAAATTTGGTTTTAGGGGCCCAGAAGTTTTTTTTCTCAGACCTGAAATTTGCCCCCCCCCCCGTTAGTTCCCAGATCCGCCCCTGAATAAGGTTCTCTATATTGAGTATGAGCAATTCCAACCTTACTATACTGCACTAGTCCCAAATGGTTCCTTATCCATCTACTGTTATATGATGAGTCCCATGACAATTACCCGCACAAAAGTTCCAACCATCGTTATTTTCCCAAAGGACCATGTAACACTAGTGTATTTAACATGGAGAATGATATGCCACGCATCAGGAAGGCTTCCCCTCCCCTCAAAATGAAATAATAAAAATACTTAATTTTGAAATTTATAAAATTGACTGAATTATGTTACCCATGAGTAAGCCTGGAATTATGATAATACAGTGCTTATATAATAATTCTGTGAATATAATCTCATTGAGAATGATTGGATCTATTATGCCATTATTTTATCTCAATGACATTTCAGCAATTGTTCTTGCAGCTTTTGTTTTTCTACGACAGTTTGTCTTGGAGACCGGAATATCCATTGTTTATACAGTATCTTATTAAACGATAAGTTGAATGTCATTGTAATAGTTGAATAACAATATTCCATCTTATACATCTATTTCATGGTGGATGAACAGTGATGGACATTTTTGTGCCGCAAACTCATCTGATGCAATTAACGATTTGCATAAATAAATTGCTGCCAATTTTAACACCGTAGGCACAAATTGGGATCGTTATGCTTAGACAACAGTTTTCGTCCTTTTCAAAAAGGAAGAGACCAAAAATCTAATCATTTATCCTAATTGTAAAGCAAATTCAGAAATTCTTCATAATTCCAGACTCAGTTTCTAATATGTAATCAAATAACAATGGTAATAACAAATGGATTTCACAATAGCAATCACATGGTAAATTGGGCAGTAATATCCCATTGAAATAACCAGTGATCGATGCATCAATATTTGGATAAAAACTAATATGATTGATGTTACGCAAAACAAGATTTGGCTTTCTATAATGACATTAAAGTAACTACTTGAAGACTTTAGTGCTATGTTGACTTTCTCCCTTCCATTCAACTTAAATCAGATGATATCAAGTTATCCATTTCAATTGACAAAAGACCTAAAATGTGATCTTAGAAATGAGTTGAAATGACAGGTTAGTCAAATTATCATGCTAATTAAGGTAGGCCTTGATGAATGAATCTGGCTAATTCACTTGACTTATTTACAAGGAGAGAATTAAAACGCTGATGCTGAATTATAATCCTTCTCTGCCCTCCTTAAAATATTACTTTCTTTTACTTGTACAAAAGGAATAGTGATTGTCTGACTATTCGTATTACAGACTATAAACCCCAACTAACACTGGGGATGTTAAGAGGATGTTGGTCGCTGGAGAAATCAAATGGTGACATAATTAAATCAGTGTAATGAATGTCACTTTTAATCAGTTAGAAATACAGGCGAGCCCCACAAATTCACAACAGCTTAGTCTGAAGAAATTTCATTTGCTCTGCTCCCACTGGCCAGTGAATAATGAGAATCAAGAATATGAAGATGAGTTTTCTGAGAGTAAGGGGCCTCCTCATGAGTTGTTGGTTGAAAGCCCATGGTTGAAAGCCCGTGGTTGAAATCAGGGTTATAATCTCAGTTGCCTAACTGCTAATGGAAATCATATTTTATAGTTAGTTTACATCGAGAGGTGTTCTATTTACAGCTCTCAATATCAGAGACAAAAATGTTCAAGTGTTCATTCAAATGGTGTTCACAGGTTTTAGAGTTATGGTGCCACGGTCTCCATTTAAGGAAAAAACCTCACATTAAACTTTTGAGCAATAATTTTATCTCTGAAAAGTCTGTATCAAAGGCAGTTCCTTTTCTGTAGACCTCTTATTTAATCGATAAAACTTACCATTTGAGACTTCCCAAGTTTTTATATTCAAAATTGGACAACGTAAAATGATAAAGCAGTCCCAGTAGAGGATGATGTGTCCCATCTGGGAGTGCCTCATCTGCGTCCCTGACAGTCACATGACTGAAACTGACCAATCAGATAAATTAACCATGAGATTATATCTTTATGTTACTTTTGGAAAAAGGAATCAATGGCCAGGCTTTTTTCTTTTGCTTTGGAATTTCAAAGATATAGCCGAAGAAAATTCCTAAAATCTTGAACAATAACAAAACAGAATTCTTTGAAAGGGATTTACCTAAATAACCATTAAGTAAAGTAGTCTATAATGTAAAGATTATGCAACTACAATGCCATACTAATGAAACTTCAATTTTCTGCAGATCTTGTCTTCCAGTCAACCAAATAATCATTATCATTCATGGAGAAAATTACAGGTATATAACATGATATACTTCATACATTCTACTTTGTATTCATTATTTACAAGAGATATGGTACCATATTATGACTGTGAGATGTAAAACATTTACCAGACCCCTTCTTAAATTGGATTTATTGGAGAAAAAACAAATTTATCTCACAAAATCCAGTTTGTAATACGAAAAACCGCTGAAGAAAAACAATCTTGAGATCTGTTACCGAAATTACTTTTTACGTTGTTTTATACCAGTATATGAATAGTACAGTGTATTTATATGATGAAGGAGTGGGTCTTCTATAAATAATGGATTTTAATCTCATAGGCTTCGTTTCTGTTGGTTCTTGCAATATACGAAATAAGAAGGCTTGGCCTCAGATAAATCATGAATATCTACAATACTACAGTATAATTCAACTTGCAATTACTATTCCAATTTTTGTAATATTTAGTTGTACCAAATCTCTCAAGGTAGATCATGACTGAAGTAAAAATATCAAAGAGTCACCCCCAGAATCATTTGACAAGGGTGTTTTTCTTACAAAGAGTTTATTTTTGTTTATTTTTTTACTATGGACTTATCCAGAAAGCCCATGTTGTTACAAAAATTATGAATGGTAAACATGCACCCAACTTTACTACCTAAGAAAATCACTATATTCGGCCTACCTTAACTCGGGCACTATGACATTTTAGGTACAAAATCAGGTCAGGAACACCATACTTTGAATGGGGTTGATTTCTAACAGCAATTCTCCAGAGCAGAGATACTATAAATATTCTTTACAGGAGAGACCCTGGGCAACTGTTGAATGATCAGAACGAGTACTGTATTTAACCATATACAGTAATACCTGTCTAATCCGAACACCACTGCAAACACCAAAGGTATATTAATCAGCAGGTGTTCACATTTCAAGGTTTTTAAATATGTGAGTCAATGGGAGAATTTTGAGACCAAAAAAGTGTTCACATTTGGAGGTGTTCAGATTAGAGAGGTGTTTGATTATACAGGTTTCACTGTACAATACTTTGTACTGGAATAATTAAAATATTAAGTACTCTTACTTTTTTAGCATCAATTATTCAATTTCAATTTATTCAAATTTTTTGATCCGTGAACTTATAATATTAAGCTAAATGGCATGGAAAGGTATAATGCCATTCGAACGAATATACATTATACATAAAGGATATCCTATAATGAAGTGATATCATAATATTCATGAGTTGAAATCATTAGTGATCAAGCATATATCAACTGATATCATAAAAAAATTTAAGTACACAGTATGCTCTTTTTATCCTATATTGTAGTTATTTATATAATCCATAGCGATAGATATAAACTATAGCTAATGATATTCCACTTTTCATTTCATTGCAATCGCAATATAATATCACAATATGTATCACAGACTAGTTGTAATTAGATCCCTAAAAACAATTGAAATTGGACAGTATTCCCTGGGGATCACTATATTCCATGTTCACTAAAATGTTATCCCTGGGGGTCACTATATTCCATGTTCACTAAAATGTATGACTTAACCTGCCTTATACCTCATAATTAGACATAGTAAAATATGAGAAAAGTTAACGGGAAAAAAGCATTAACCCCGAGTAGTCATTATTAGAAAATCCAATACAAAGCACTCAAAGTGGTTATAGCAGTGGGAAAACCCTTAAGGCAGTTACATTGAATAACCTGCCCGATCTCACAGACCTTTTCGAGATCGATGAAGTATTATGAAGTATTAATCAACTGCCTTAAACCCTGTTAATCTAATAACTTTAGAGTCTAGAAGAATGGGCAAATTTTCCCATGATCATTTCATCATTTGAGGATAATAGATTGAAGCATACTTATTAGTGCCCATTGGTAATGATTTATTGATTAATGTTAGGTTAAATGTTACTATGAACTGAAGAGACCCTTGGATAAGGATAAAATATTTAGTTAAGAAGATAAAAGCATGTCATCTCATTTTAGTTCACTATATCTAGGAAACGCTTCTGCAATGAAACCCGGGAATGTACCATTGTACCTCCCCTTATCTTCTCTCAAACACAGTTAATAAGATTGAATTTATAGAAGCGGGGAATGTGTCACTTGATCTTAACAAAAGGCAGACATTTTGTGATATTGCGCTATTCTGTGATATATATGTGTGAGTTACTCATGAGTAAACTATTGTGGGATGATAAGAAGTAATTAAACCTGAAATATCCAATACAGGAGAGTGTATCGAGACAGACTAATGATGATTAACTGCTCGCAATAAAATGATGAGGACAGAATGTACTTAAATGAGGATGGCATATGGACTTGACCTTTAATTTGGCTAGTAGTTTTAGACAAATCATATTAGTTTGGTGATTTAACAGATATAAGATCCCAAAATCTAGCTTGCCATCAACTTGTGATTATTTGGCTGCACCTGAACGCTCAATTTCTAATTTGTTACATCCATAAGATGCAAATGTAAGGCAACACTATGCAACTAAAATATAAACAGTATGATAATAAGATTTCTGGTGCCAAATATTTCCAAAGGTCAGGTATGGAGACCCAACCAGAAGGGATTGAAATTAAGGGTCTCCTTGTCAATTTAAAGATCTGCTCCTTCACTTCTACTTTTTCTTCTTACTTCACTTTTACTTACATCAGTAGATTTGTCATTTGGAGAGACAGGTTCACTTCCAGTGGATCCGCCATTTGGGCTTTGACTGGGGCTGTTTTCTGTTGCCTCTTTGCTGAGGTACTGCTTTAGTTTCTTAGAATGGGCCTTGCCTTCATAGTGCTGCTTGGCTTGTGATGGAGCATTCAGATTAACACAGCAGACCTTACAATACAGTGGCTGTAGCAACCCAGGAGGCGCTGAGGCATTGGCGTTTCCGTAATTCCCATCGTGTTTACGTTTCATGGCTTTGAGATATTTGTATGGTTTGTGAAGGCGTGGGAATACACCTGTCGGGAAGCTGAGTGGATTCGGGAGGAAGTTGGTCCCGGGAATGGTTTGTGGAGTGAGAGGTATACCTGTACTGTAGAGTGGCTGAGTAGGAGTGCCTAGACCATTGTTTGTCTGGTACGTTTGGTATACTGAAAAACATAAGTTCAAAAGCCTATATTAATCTGGGTATGCTAAAGTACATAAACATATATCATGTGTACTTATACATCAAAACTCACAGGCAGCATTTGAAAAACATAAAAGTAAAATAAAAAATAAATACGGATTTAGACGTCTTTCTTCTTTTGTGTGTAGATTACTTCTTTGGAAATAATTGATATAGAGGTTGTTCAAGTCGAATAGGCAGCCCTTAGTGGCAATGCTATGAACATCATTTATTGATAACAGTAAATGTAATAAAGAACAACCACTTCATGATGAGTGGCAATATCTAGAAAACCGTAAAAGAGTATGTAATATAATCGCTCATCTACAGAGTATAAGCATCACGAAAAAGCCTGATGACAAAGTATACTTCCATTAGTGGCAGTAGCTCAACACATCACCTGGGTATAACGGGGATAAATCATGGCTAGATTATGAGACACAGGTAGAGTTCTCATCTACGCGGAAACAATAAAAACATTTTATGACAGTTTAAGCCATATGTGTTCTGGATGTAATGATGCCATTTATAAAGGTCAGACTGGGACTTGTTTGTTTCATATGACATGAATTTAGAATGTAATTGATTAAGAGTTGGAACATGTTAATAAGTAATAGGGAATATAGTCTTGTTAAGACTTGTGCCCCTCCCTCTCAAAACATTCCCCAAAGGAGAAGTAGATTGAGGCTGTCATCCCATGGCCGGTCCCACGGTTAATGAAATCTTGCTACTTGACTCAAAATAAGGCCGTTGTTAACAATTGCTAATCAGTCACTTTAACTACAGGTTAAGAACCTGACAAGAACCCCTTTACAATTGAAGAAAACAATATCCCATGATTTACAAGTGATATGATTTTCAACCTTGGATTGACTTATTCTTTTATCTTATTTCATTTTATATATTTCTTAATTGACGGATCAAAATGTAGAGTACTACTGATTTAGGTCAATAGAAAATATCCGGATAAGATTACAAAATCAATTTTTGATATTCAGCCCTCTCGGTCAAGATTAAAGACATACGTAGACAAAACAATACAATTAATACAATAACAATACAATATTATTGATTCGTTTCAACAATTATCTTCCGTCAATATCTCAAGGAGTCTGAATATAAGATAAGTTATAAGTTTATCCAGACAATGACTGTCTCTTCTATTCTATTCTCTATCCAAACCTGTCTCTCAATAACTTTTAAAACATAACAGATCGAATAAAAGCGATACATCATTTGTATTCGAGAGACAATAGCCTATCCATCAGATGAGACCACTGAAGGTTTAAATAATGATACATTATTCCCATGTGACCGTCGGGATAAACCCCACTTAACGAATAAAGTCACGTCTTGGAGGAGATGAATGTTTTAACGATGAGAAAAAATGTATTTTCTCATAGTCATAGGGTTTAAAATGTGGATTAAGATATTGCTTTTGTAACGCTGTTTCAACTGATACAGCAATTTATTACAACCCCCTTATGACCACTTAGTATTTTCACTCATTAAACATAAAGCAGGTATGACAAGCTTTTAAACTGGCTGCAAAGTAACTGGAGTGAGGACTAATCAAATCATTTTATGAATTATTTATATCATATAGAAAATGTTACATGCTCTGTAGAATTATGACAATGCATTAGAGCAGTTTTATGCTTAAGTGACAATCTTGGAATGTGTAATAAAGCCTCAAAAATGAGTGGTTCTCTATGTATAATGTCCTACTTTTGAGAGATGGTCCCAGGGATATGGTATCCTCATATTGAGAGATGTGGAAAAAACAAATAAAACTCTATAATGGTTAAACCCTCCCCTCTTCCCCATATAACAAAAAGTTTGATTGGCAGTTCATGACAAGATTTTGAGGAGCCTAGCGACCCCCTATATACCCATAGAGATTCACATCCATCAGCATAAGACAATGATGATATAGCGCTTTCAAAAAATGTGATACAAATACTTCCTCTGTTTTGATCATCCTTTTTCACGATGCTATATCCATCGTTTTCCTTGAATTTTGATCTTCCCTACCCAGATAGACACATACCCATCAGCACAAGACGATGTAAATATATCACTTCGAGAATTGCGATAAAAATAATCACTTTGTTCTTTCACAACCTTTGACATTTGAATACTTTTCCTAATGCAACATATAATAAGCAGAAACAATTAATCAAATCTAAAAACAACACCATATATCACAAATTAGTCATGATCTTTTTGTCCTTGTGTGAAATTTCACTCCAAATTCGTTGCATGATGAATACAAATACAGCATTAAACCTGTTCAAGTAGAATGGTCTGTAAGTGAAACACCTCTATAAATGGAACACCTCTATAAGTGAAACACCTCTATAAATAGAACACCTCTATAAGTGAAACGCCTCTATAAATGGAACACCTCTATAAGTGGAACGCCTCTATAAGTAGAACCTTTTGTAGAAACTTTTGAGTAGAACCAAGGGTGTTCCACTTATACAGGTTCTTCTTTACAGATGACATCATTCAAAGTGAAATAAGCGACATTAACCTTAAACCCAAATTGCTAAATTGCGTCAAAAAGAGAAAAATATATATGTCACATGTAACCTCACGACCTAATATCCTATATATATCGGAATTGTACGCATATGAATCATGACCTCTAGTAACCTGGAAATATATTTGGAAGATCAAATTGCTGGGAAAGTTACAAACCTGTTTGCAGTATTGCTTTATAGAAGTGGATATCCATTTTGTATGAAGTCCTCCTTTATTGAATACAGATAGATCACTTTTTGTTTTTCTATTGAACTGTTTTTCTGTTGATAAATGTGATCAAAACAATATCCTAATGAATATCAGAGTCAATATTCTAGTGACGTTAATCCATCCTAAGTAGTCTGTCTAAGCATCATCACAATGCACTTTTTCTAACTTATCTCATCTGTCTTTGGAAGCTTATATTCATAATATGGCAGCTTAACAATGTATTCATAATATAGCAGCTTATATTCACAATATGACAGCTAATGTTCATAAATTGTCAGCTAATATCCATGAGGTAGCAAGCAGCTAATGTTCATAATACGCAGCTAATATTCAAAAAAATATCAATGATAATTGCAGCTTTATGTCCAGAAGTAGCTTATAAAAGAAACAGATTTATATATAAATGATTCGTCTAAAATAACTCCAGCGCAGGTTTTACGGAGTTCTATATTATTTTACCATTACTCATGAGCTACTGAACAAATTCTGTGAAAACTCCACATGAGTATTTTAATGATAAATGATAACATTCAATCACCATTCCGCAGTAAAGTAATGACGTATAATATTGCAATGTGAGAAGAACGTTCCAATTTTCTTAATCTATTACATGGTGTATCTCCAATATTTATCCATCTCGAAACATTCTGGCTAATCTCTTGAAGTACCTCTAGTAGTTTGCTTAGATAATGCTATAATTATATTCCATTGAGGTGCGCCGCAGACAACTGGCTCAGTTAGGTCTATGGGAGGCCCAGCTGCTATGGTAGACAATGTCAGATCATTCTCTATAAATGTTTGAATAACTACGCTTCATTGTATAATCTACTTTGGAATATTAACGCCATCTTCCTAATAAATGAAGATTATGGTTATATTCTATATCAGGCACAAAGTCAATACCTTTATTCTTAGCTGTCTAAACTATTCAATACAATTGCAATATGAACCTAATGAAAACTGAATAGCGTTTAGGAGTACAATTCCTGCATTTCAATGCTAGCTTTTTCTGACCTACTTATATATTAAGTGCTACTAATTAAAAATAGATGAAAACCTAATTGTTAAATAATTAATTGAAAAATGACAGTGCTTTTTTTTTAGCTTATCTTTTTTCTACTGGGTATACTGTAGCCTTTCGTTAAAAGGGATCAATTACACACGCCTTAATAGATCATCTTAAGTCGTTATCCCCAGTGGCTCACACCTTGCTTCGTCTCCCAGAAGGATATCGAATTCACCACAGGAAATTTTCTCAAGAAAGAAACTCGTTTGTAAATGTAGATCCATTCTGACGCGAATGTAATTTACTTAATTGATTTGATAATTAGCTATATGAGTTAAGATAAATGATGTTTCTTTGTACGCCTTGAATTAGGTCTTTACAGCTGAAATATTTGCTTGGTGGTATATATGTCTTACTCTTTCAAAACTCCCTGATTAAACCATTTTCTTGCCTTTTTATTAAAAATCTATGAACTTTATTTTATTTAGCATAATCAATATAATTTCACTTAATCATTATAAAATAAAATGTATAATAGTCATTTCACTGGCCTTTTTACCAAAAAACACATACTAAACAGACAATGAACCCTTACACAATATATAACAACAATTCAGATAGTATAACTTTAAGTCTCAAGAGAGGAATGGTTTATCTTAGCCTAAAACTGATAACTTATAAAGAGGATCAGAATGATAAAAGGAATACACTTTAATTATTAATATGCAATGATGCTGAAAATAAAATACAATATGAATATGTAATGTTCATACAGTGGCCCATAAAATATTCCGACTTTGCCTTCTCAGTTCAAGAAAATAAATACTGTTAAAGAGAGAGAGAAAAATCAAGTTATGATGTCACAATGATGCAGCACCAAGAGTTATTAATGTAATTATAGTTTACAGAAATGAGGAACAAAAGATATGTTAACAGAGCAAATGATGCTACACTAATTGCACATATGATATAAACTATACAATAACTATAAAAATGACAATCAACCAAAGATAATTATGTAAAGTATAGATACATGCCAAATGAAATGGCAAAAGAACAATATAAGTAATTGCAAAACAAACAATTCGTCTCAAAAGGGCCTTTATTTTCTATTAACATGTTCAATTACATGATTACTATATTGAAATATAAGTGTACCAAATGTTTGCTTAATCTCCTATCCTATGATACCTATTGATTATTGATAAGCCTACCCATCT